CGCCTTTAACGTAAGCCCGGTTCCTACATTAACAGTGGAGTCCATCTAAAGCTCTTTCGCACCTTCAATGTACTCGCAGTCTCCAAGTGAACTTGATCGCTATGTTTTAATCGCCGCCGCATATTCTTTGCACTCCATGTCGGATGCTTTTCAACATTTATTAGAATTGTAAGAAAAGAGGGTTAAGCACGAAATCAAGTCAACAACTATCATTTCATTCAGTATGGCTTGAACCTCTTCTATATCGTTTACGAAAACAGTAGGCAAGTACACCACCAAAGATGTGGGCATAACAGGCTACACAAAGTATGGTTATGAATACCCACGTGCCATAGAATGAGGACCCTAAAATGTCAAGAGAATTTAGCTGTTCATATGTAAGAACACATGATTATTGTCAAAGAAAAGCGTGGTAGAAAATCGGAGCGGTCAGATGGTGGAAAAATATTCTTCCTGAGAAACGAAGTCCTCACCCACATATCATAGCTCCAAGGGTCAAAGTGGTTTATGGGATGTTTGAACGATTTCACCGAGTGATCCCCTGACCTATGTACATACATCCGTTACTGATTTTTTTTCGAGTTGAAGCAAAATGGATGATGGATTTTGATGCTCCCTTCCAATAGCTACAGCACCGCACAAAAGTATTCGGTGAAATGCTTTGACGCTTTTTCGTTCACAACTTTTCTCTTAGTAGACCAAATCGCTCGAAAATTGGATATGTTTGACTAGAGCATATTTCACCCTACCCAACCCTATTTCACTGCAAAGCTGCAATATCCACAAGTAGAGGAAGGTGATTGTTGCGGTAGCAGATTTTGGTGGAACTGAAGTTGTTGACGTCTGCACTTATTCGCACCTATGTGCGTCTTTCTCATCTATTGTGATCGGAGTTACCGCTCGTACACTTTGGACACGACAAATAGGAAAGAGATTCTAAAAAGGCCATCATCTGTACTTCCAGTTGATTTTGAGTTCAAGCCCTTTGGGATATCTAGAACATGATCAGATTGCAAGTCAATAGTGGTAAATATTCACAGTACGTCCACGCTCCAAATATAGAAATTTTGCATGATTAGATCCAGTAGGAAAGGAGTTACGACTGAAAAGAAGGGCTCACGAACCATCTCACCGAAGACTTTCGAGCGCTACTGTATATATGTCGTATACTCCTAGCGAATTTTCTCTTGAAAATTTTTGGAGTTCGAGCTATCGTGCAAGGGGAATGTATAAAAAATCAAAAATCCACTTTAGAACAAATTGCTAAGGACTGACGTGGTATTTCTTCTTCTTCCTTCACTCGCAATCGCCTACCTATACCAGTTAGGAAAAGATGTATGTACTTGAAGTCTTCCGAATCTTTCTCCGTGTCATGAATCTTCCCCTGAAAGAAAAACGGCTAGCAGATAGCCCCGACCTCACTCTGAAAATGAAAAATTTGACAGCGCTAACTCAAGAGGAGGAAACCTCTCGGAATCACTTTTAGCTATCATCTACAACGGGCTCAGAACAATTTTGCAGCTACTAAAGAAATGTTTATCAGTGGTGGCCTGAATTTCTTATCTCTATGGTTTGAAAATTTTATGAGTCGCTTTTGGCCGTGGTGGAACGCAAAAAAGTGCATACGCCTTGACCATACAAGGAATCTCTTACCCCAGAGTATGAGCATCACGATGTGGGACGGAGTATGAAGGGAAAGCTACCGGGGACGCCATTAGCGTGCTTCCTAGAAGGGCATGCTTCAATCCGTCTCAGAGTTATTTCCTCATTTTCTCCCCATTCTCATAGACGCCTGCCTTCTCAACCAATCCCATCGCTGTAGTGCTGTCGACAAATAAGGAGTTTGACAAAAATGCATCGAAACGCTGCAACGTGAATGTAGCTTTAGAATACATTTGATGACTCACCAAAAGGTTGTTGGGGAGGTTACACAACGAGTAGCCACAGCATAGCGTCATCTTCATTACACCATATTCACCATGACGATCGATATATAATATGTCAGGTGCCTAAATATAATAAGTAATTTTAGAAAACTTCTAACTCTGATTTTGCTCTGAATATGACGCAGCGGAAGAGTACGAGGCGCATACCCCGCATCAGTTGGCTTCCAAAGCCTCAATTTGGGATGCATTGACCGACTATTACATGTTTCATACTGTCCTTTACCATAATCAATTCCAAATTTTGTATGAGCATACACGGTATGATACCAGTACAGATCGAAATCACAGTGGTAAAGCAACTACCTAAACCCACTTCATTAACCGACCCACCCGGTTATTGCTCTATACTCCAAAAGGGAATGAAGAATAGAGCTGGAATTTCCATATTATTATCTTTATCGTAATCATAAAGTTTTGCGGACGGACAGACAGACATACAAACAAACTGACACACCGAGTTACTGCTTCATAAATAGGAAGGACAAGGGTTGTGGGCTGTTATGAGCCGACAAGATGGATTTGTTTAAGCTTCCGTCATACAGTAACCCCCACCCCTGAGCATCGCCCAAGGTACCTTTTTGGTGCGTCGTAATATGGTGGGTGTTTGATGGCCATGGGGTGTGTTTTCGGGTTACTGTACCACACATTCAAGAGACTTCAGAATCCGTCTTGTGGCTGCTTTGGCAATTCAGAATTCGTGCTAACTTTACCGTACCTCATGTATCTTTTCATCCAGGCCGTACATTTCCATCATAACAACCATTTCCGCTGCGATGTCGTAATGGAGTCGTATGTAGCACATATGTGATTTCATTACCTACGAATATGTACAGTTATCAGTTGAACTGAAATGTTTTTGCTCTGCACACCCTTAGTTTAGCCTATGCAGGCATTTTCCTTAACATCTCTCATCCTAACTCTTTCTCAGCCATCCTGCAGTAGTTACTCACCGTGAAATTTCGCAATCTCAACAAAGCGCGAAGATCTTCTCCTCGTTCAGAAACGCAGTCGACACTAGCCACTCGTTCAATAATAGCGCTGGAGTAGATTGAAGCAAGGATCGAAAATGTTGCTGTCACTTCGTTGACTTACCACAAACAAAGCGCAATCACAATTTGTTGCATGGCGATCTCAAATGAACGTCACTGTTGGGGTTTGAAAACATGTTTTGATTGTTCAACAGATTTCCTCTATTTATCTCATTAGATACTGATAGACGAGTGACGGTATAGAGCGGAAGGCTCAAAGTCACTCCTACCCGACCTCCTCCTGATTCTGTGGAACTCTGCGGGTGGCGGAGTAGCCAGAGGATCACAAGGCACATTTTTCAGGGGAGGCGGTCGTTTATCGCGATCCCTCCCATCGCGCCGCCCATTCGACGCGTTTTGTGAGCTGGAGAACTCGTCCAGGTGATCGCGCAAAGCACGACCTATTCAGCCCGATTGATGAGCTCCTACTCTTAAACGCTTCATTGTCTACCTGCTTGTATTCTGTCTATCAGCATGGCGTCGTCGATCGAGCTTCTAACAGCTGGATAGGTAGTGGGTTGCCCGATCTGGTGGACGACTTGTCCAGCTCGTAAATCGCGTCGAATGGGCGGCGTGATGAGAGCGATCGCGCCAAACGACATACACCCAGTTTTTGGAAATGGCACAGATTTGAAACCGCTACGCAGCCGCACGCAGGCTGCGCAAGAGGCCCTCTGATGCCTCTTGCTCTGTAACACTCGCCTTTGGTATGTGGACATCCCGTCACAATAATAATTGAAAAGCGCTTGAGAAATGCTGGATATCAGTGATCGCACCCTTAGAAAGATCGGCATTCGTTGTTTCACACGTACTTGATACCTCTACACCGAGTTTCTTTTGAAGGTAGCGCGCGATTGTAGCAACTTCGCTTTTGAATGGTTTGAAACGGTTTTGAAATCTTCAAAAACCAACTTCANTGCTAATGTAAGCCTGAGATCAAAGGGAAGCATACCACTGTCTAGTCCGCTCGTATACGAATGGTAGAAGGTCGTTGGTCATTGTTGGTGTCTGTCAAGGAGCTGAAGTGTGTACTGTCAGTATCCATACATAGATAACGAAGTCCTGAATTCTTGCTCATTATCCTTAACCAATTTTCGAAGCTTCCTACTGGAGTCGCGGATCTTCTTCCCTCAAGATTTTCTCTCACTGAAGGACCAGAGCCGGTTAGCGACGTGGCTACGTAAGGCTTCCTCAGGTGTCGGATAGGGGATTCAGTTGATGGACTCCCCGATCCCTGTGCTGGTCAATATGTCTTCTGTATTTTGCAGGCGTATCCACGGGAAGAGTGTGCGATACAGTCGGTATCCTGCCCATCAGCTGGGCCCATTGCTTGCATTCTAGTGACTGGGAAGTATCGAGGAGCGATTCGGGGCCGCCTTTGGAAACGCTTCCCGTTCACTCCGGGAGAGCCTGGCTAGCACCCGGAGTCAACCCAGCCTTCACGTCAGAGCCTTGCAAGCTACACGTTGGGTAACCATTGAGGTACCCAACGTATAGCTCACACCGTAGCTCAGGTCCAAAACAGGCTGATCAAACGGAGAAGGATTAAGATGGCGATCTGTGCTTTCTACGCAAGGACTCTTGCATCGGAAGCGTGTAGAGAAGATCTAATGATGCAAGCTAGGAAGATTAAGCACGACGCCCTCGGATTGACCGAGACGAGAAGGCATCGTCTGCTACACCCTGTATTCAAGACTGGAGTAGAACTGTTTCTTAGAACAGGGGACAGTAGAGGCGTCGGCGGTATACAGTTGCGCTCAAAAGTCTTCGGCCAAACGCTCTTAGCTTATTCGTTCATAAATTTTTTCTTAGTGGAGAAAATCGCGCGAAATTCCGTATGTTTAACTAAAGCATATTTCATACCATGTAACATATTTGAGTGCAAAGCAGCAATATCCACGTACCTAATGGAATTGATTTGTAGCAGAATTCGCTAAAGGCAAAGTTAGTGACGTCTGTAGTTATTTCCACCTTATGTGCATTGTTCTTCTCTACTGTGTCCGGCATTACCGCTCGTACACTTTGGACATGGCTAAAAGGAAAGAATTCTCAGAAGGACCAATGTTCATATTTCCACTTGGTTTTGAGTTCAAGGTTTTTAGGATATCTGGAACATTTGTTGCCTACGCACCATCATCCAGTTACGGCAAGAGGAGTCGGATGCGTTTTATGTGAATCTAGAGAGGCCTACAGAGAAGACCACACTTTCTTCGAGGTCATCGTCGGTAATAACAAGATTGGCCCTGGAAGAACGGCTGAAGAGCTCCACATGGGGAGTCACGGAATGGAATGGAATTAGCAGAATAAAAGGCTGTCATGTCGACCCGCACTCTCCACAGTAACTCCCAGTTCCAAGACTCCTCTCATTCTCAATGGACATGGGAGTCACCTGGTGAACAGTTCCATAATGATATAGATCACATCATCGTCAATCGAAAGTTTTGCCTGACTGACGTTGCTGTTATTCCGGAGTTCTAGTGGAGCTGATATGCTAGCGTGGAATCGCGCGAGCTGCAGGCAATCATAAACAAACGAACTTGCGAAGCTATGCAGGGAAGCAATAAAGAAGATCCTAAAGAGAGAAGAGCAGCAGTTATAGACGGAGCCGCCGAGGCTGGTAAGGGCATTCGCATAGCATTCAGCATTCCTCACTTATTCACTCAGAGATGAAGCCAGCTTCCAGAGGTTCGTTCTCGTGTCAGTGGGATGTGCTCGGAGTGAGTGTTAAGCAGATCGAAACACATGTCCATCTGTTCTTGCGTCGAGCACACCACGAAACAATCACAAATATATGCGGCAGAAGAGCATGGGGTGGTATCCAATACTGGCGCTTCAATTTTGGACATAAAGACTGGCCAGAGTAGGCGCCCGACGTTGCCCCATAGATAAGCCGCTGAATTGCACGAACTACTCTCTCGACCATCTAAAAGTGTTTGCACCTAGGGTATTCGTTCAACAATTATGTCACCTGATCAGTAGAGAGTCCATGCATGTTGAGCTTGCTTTGATGCTAATTTAACAGTTCTAATACTGCTTCCATACCAGTACTGAAACATGGCTCACGTCAATGTAGAGGCTCTCTACATCAGATGATTCCATGACGCGGGTACTGTTGGGTTGAAGTGCCTGAAGCTTGTTCAGGAATATTTGGGTGTTTGTAAGCTGGGAGAATATGTGTTTGAGAAGCTGCACCGAGATTGCATTAAGAACCACACTATCCGGTCAGCGCTCGGTTGGTTCGTAAGACCGCCCATAAACCACCCCCTACTGTGTGGTTTGCCCAACCATCAAGGAAGGCGACTGTACAATCGCGGGGGTGGCCTGCAAGATCACGTGTTGTAGCTGTGAGGACGTGTATATCGGCAAAACATCAAGAACGCTATATCAGCGCATCAAAAAGCTTTTAGAGGTCAAGGACAGGTCTCGCATGTCAACGGCCCTAGGCTTCCCAGGGTGGAACCTCACTACGGAGCCGACTTCGAGGTCACCGCCGAGGTATTGGCGCGAGAATCGCAAACACCAGCACGGAAAACTCTTGAGGTTTTCTGGATCCAGGTCACTAGGCCAAAAATGAACCGGAGGGAGAATGACTCACAATAACGCGGAAGCTAGGACCGTATATATGGTTGGCCTTCCATCAGTGAGTCTGAACCCCATCCAGTCCGAAGTGCTTACTGGACCACTGCTAGCTTCTAAGTGGTCGCGAGGATCGGAGTGATCTGCGTAAGTGGCCCAATTCACAACTGCTTGATGACTTCTGAAGTCTCGAATTTTTGTAGGGTAGTTTAGGCGTTTTCTTGGGTAGTCACGGATTGCTTCGACAGGCTCTGAATAAGGCAGACCCGCCGAAACGTAAACCGGAATAAGAAATTCATCCATCTCGTCCGATTTTATCAATTTTTTATCAAACTTCAAGCAGAGAACCCGAAATTTGCCACATGCTGAGGTCTAGAAGAGGCCGTACATTGCGATTTAAAGAGAACCTTCGATATCGTCGAGTCAAGCAGTAATTGAAGCCCTGGGCAACCAGGGTGGATAGGGTCAATATTACTGCTCAATATATAAGGATGCTTCGTGAGCTCTACGACAATTTTACTGCCAGGATTTCACTATTCTACAAGGAAGTCATTGTCAACGTGAAGAGAGGTGTCCGGCAAGGCAATACTATTTCGCCCAATCTTTACAGTGCCGCTCTCGAGATATCATGCGTCATTTGGAATGGAAAGACTTGGGAGTGAAGGTCGACGGCCGCTTCTTACATCACATCCGCTTTGCAGACGACATCGTGCTCATAACACNGGTGTTCATGAAAAACGGACTGGTACCTGATGCTCCCTTCACGCTAAACGGAAAGAATATCTCCGAATGCTCTAGCGATGTGTACCTAGGTCGGGGAATCAACATAATGAACGACTCCGGAGCTGTGCAGAAAGAAACGCGCCGCGTGGGAGCATTTAAGAGTATCGAAGGAGTAGTGAAGAAGACGAAAAACATCACGCTCCGCGCTCACCTTTTCGCACTGTTGTCCTTCCTGCTTTGACCGGAGTTCTGAGCTTAGTCATCGATGCCGTTGATTACGCCAAGAAATCGAAGATCAGATGGGCAGGGATGGCACGTGACGCGATACTGACTGGATCCCTCGGGACATCAAACGAACTTCAGGATGGCCGCCAACGAGATGGTCAGACTTCTTCACGGAAGCTTTGAACGAAAGGAATGCTGGGCCTCGTGTCCGTGAACCTAGCACGATTTGCTGGACCACTCTGGCTCGTGACAGAGACGAATGGAGGCGTTACTGGCGCCCGCTCGATGAAATCGACGATCAACAGGAGACAGCTAATACAGGTGATTTTACGGCAGGGGAGAGTAATAAGTTGTTGCTGAATGCTACCAATTAATATTGTTTATCATTGAGATAACAGAATTACAACGCATTGTCGATTTCAGCTGAGAACGGTCTCCACGATGGTTGTTGATCTTCGTGGGTGATTCCACCGCGTCTGGATTTCATGAACCACACATGGATTGAGCATTCTGCTAGAGCGTTGTCGCCAAAAGTGTCTCATATTTTTTCGTTGTTTAAGCTGCACATCAGG